CACACGTAAACAAATATCAAAACACCAGCTGAAGCTAGCAGATCAACTCAGACTGTGAATGAATGAATGCCCTTCAGCCTGCCCCAGTGCACCTTCCCATTCTGTTCTGGGCTGTTGTGGGGCTGTAGAAGGCAATGCGGCTCCCTCTCGCCCCTGTTAACAGAAAAAGCTACCACGTAACCTTTTAAAACCGCAGTCCTATGAGGAAAACCCCTTGGACTCCTAGTGCTCATGTGGAGAAGTTAACAAGTTAGCTCTACAGAGGGTAAAATGTTCTGTCCTTAACCAGGAAAGCATGGCCATACCTCTTTCCTTAACCTGCCTTACTGGGCTGGCGTGAATTACCTTATCTTTGGACAAGGTTGCAGTTGGTCTGCAACTCCAGTGCAGAAGAAGAAGACCCCTTCCCTATCCCAGTACTGGGCAGCTGAAGCTTGACAGAGCAGAAGGGCTTCACGCTTCTCAGCTCCAGCCCACCAAAGGCTGGCTTGCAGAAAAAGTATTTTGTAGCATGGCTCAAACTATTTTAAGAATGCCAAATGTGATGATTTAGAACATGTGTACGCTCCACACTCTTCACCTACTGCACATGTGAAAAGGCTTTTGCGGGAAGCGCATTCTCTAAGCAGCAGTACGAAAGAAATCTAATACCTTGCTTGTTCCTCCCCGTTCACAGACTAGAAGCAGAATGCAGACTGAGAGGCAGGGAAATACAACTGGATTGCTTTGCAGATACAGATAACAAAGATGGATACTCCATAGGTGTTTACTTTCTTGAATGACACAGCAAAAAAAAACCCCAAACCCAAGTCACACTCTTCCCAGAAACAAATGCATTTCCAATATTATAGATATTTCACTCAAAGTAGTGTTTGAAAATTGATAGACTTGGTATTTGATCTGCTTGCACTGAAAACCTGCTCTTCCTTGCTTCTTCCTAACGCACTGCAGCAAGCAGCGACACTTTAGTTAAATATGTGACATAGCAGTTGACAGGGCTTTCTCTAAGGGAAATTCAGAGATTCTGGAATCTGTTCACACAACCTTCACATGAGATATTTGAAACAATTGCTATTTTGGCTGGCCACAAGAGAGATCAGTGTGACAGAATTATGGAAAAGGCTGAGCATGAACTCCCAGGCTGGCAGGTAACAAGCTATCCCTTTCATAGGAAACAGATTTTAACTATGCTAGGTTTAAATCATATTTATATAAATATGATAAAAATGAAGCAAAGGTTACAGGCACCTTTATTTTTGAGTCTAAAGTAATTTCAGTTCCCTGTATTTAAAGTTACGAAATTAAATTAGTGCCCAAAATACTGTAGTGCGACGAAGCACAAATGTTCTACAGTAAAGAAAGAATATTGTATGGCATATTTCTATTTTGCCAATAAAAATTATGCAGCACTATTAACGTATTCTAAATTGATCTCCACATAGTCTGTATCTGGAAGCACCATAACCTCACTGGTAAATAGTATCTGAGTAGATAAATGGGGCTTCTCCCTTCAGGGTTCAATAAAGATTTAAGGAAACGGAAGTTCTTTCCACATGATTTAGTCTGTATGGACACCTGCCCCTTTCCAAATTAAGAATTATTGAGAAGAATCTTCATCTTTTTTTCCACCCTTTCTTTTGTCTGGCTATGCTTTTTTTGTTAAAAGAAAGGATGCCCTAGAAAAGTTTCATGTCCTTCCTAAAGTACAGATGACTAAATCAGCTAGCTATGCAAAAGCAATAAACATACTCACAATGACTAGCAAAGGAGTGATATATTATCTTCAGATATCAGTAAGAAACAGAATCCTTCACATTCATTCGATACAGCTTCCAAAGTCAGATAAAGGTCAGATGCACTTAAGAGTTTTTTCTTCAGAGAAATTATGCAAGGCAAACTTCCTCACAAAAGCTCTGTGACAAGTAAAACTACAATAAATTCAAGCTATTCTGTATTCAATTGCTCAGCCCCTTTAAATCTTATATTAAAGTCCTGCTTCCTAAAGCAGTCAGGAGAATGAGGAGAGACGGGATAAAGACAGACCTGACTTTCCAAAGAGCAGACAAGCTTTGTAATGAAATGTACGATCTGTGGGGCAAGGTAAAAACTGAACAAAAATACATGGCAAATAATTGGGGGAATCAGAGTTGCATTATGCAAATATTTGTAAATAAATATTTTTCAAATGTTTCTATTCTTATTTACCAAGCTGGAATTTTTTTTGCATAAGCTTCACTCATTCCATGCTTTTCTTCATTCTTCTTTATTTTAACACTTTTTGAAAAAATCCATTCTCTAACCATATTAGGAAACTTGAACCTTCTCGAGATGCTACCTTTTTTGGATTACTGGGTAATTTGTTTAAAATTAACCCAAAGCAATCACTTATGGTGAGATATACTTTATGACTAAGCAGAAGTCACCTGGCTTTTCTCTCCTCCTCTATCGAGTCTTCGGAGGTAAGAGACATTTACTGGTATCAACTACACTTTTCTAATTGCCTGTCCCTTCTGGAGGGAATTACTAACTAAGCAGACACTTTGTAAACCTTGTACACCATTACATGGAGACAATATCCAGGTAATGAACTGCAGAAGAATACGGTGAACCACTCCTTCGTTCACTGGGTGAACCCTTCTGGGACACCTGACCATTTAGATGTGAGGACATCACTTAGATGTGAGGCATGAGTGGATTTTCTGCACTAGAGGACTGATGGCTTTGCATTTCTATGTGCAGCCTTACTATGTACAGGCCTCAGGTCCTTCACCGCAGTGACCGAGAGACTCAGGCAAGACATTTTAGTTTAGATAACGTTTCACTACTTCTCATCTCCCGAGCCACTGCCATGCAGTCTGCTGCTGACAACGCGCAGCCTTTCCCTTACGGGCAGCTGGAGGAGGCAATGGAGGCCAGCGTAGAATTGCAGGGTGCCTGTACCCAGGCCCCAACCACCCGTAGCTGGCTGCCACAGCTTCCCTCAGCTTTTGAGGGAGCCTTGCTGTGCCTCTGGTGACAAACCTCTGGCAAGAGGAGACTGCACACTGTCCTGCGTTTTGGGGAGACTGGGGTGAGACATGACACACATGTCAGGGAAGTAGAAGGCCCCCTGGATACGTGTACTGCACATTTCTTTTTATCCCCTCCACGTTATCTTACTGGCACTAGATGATCGTTATAAGTCCCTTCCAACTGAATCATTCTATTCTATTAACACTCAAATCAGCAAACATACACCTTTGGAAATTCAGGAAGATAAGATTCAATACATTCAAACAGAGCACTTGGAAAACCTGAAATAATCCTGTGCTTGTTGATGTTATAATTTGTTTCACAAAAGCCTGCAACGACACCCGTAATTTTTGAAAACACAATGCTTTGCATTTTCCAGTTTGAAAGCCCAAGTTCAAATTGGATTATCTGCATGCAGCGCTTGAATTACTGGGTAGAAACTGGTAGATATGGCTTATTGCTGATCAGTAAGCTGACCCCCAACTGGTTTGCAGAAGGTAGAGAGTCAAACTTGGGTATCTGTACCTCTCGCTTTTGTCCTCTGAATGTTACAACTCTCAAATAAGCACTTTTTAGATGCCTGCAAGCTTCTCAAAAATACTGCCTGCCTCTTGAAATACTGCCTCATTTTCCCTGTTTCTGTAGGCTCTGGTAAAAGGCTCTCAGCCTCACGTGCTTTCAGGCAGTCTTATTCAAAGAATGGCAAAACCATGAAGAAATTCATACAGCAATGGAGAGGCCATCTGCATTTCCCAAAACACCAAACATTCAAAAGCATTACAGAGGGAAAAACGTACACTCTGGTACAGCAGCTATAGCACTGCACCAGAAATCTTGGGGCAGAGAGTACCGTGGTGATGAGCATGGAGCTGGATACACAAGTCTCGGCTTCCCCAAAGGAAAAGTCACCTTCGTAACAGGGCATATTCAGGGAGCCACCTGACATGTGCCCATTAACTCTGATGGCAAAGGAAGCTGAGTGGCAAGGGCTGGTTGGCACAAGGTGGTCCACCAGATTCAGTTTGAAGCATGGCAATTGCTTCCATACACCCCTGCGGCCAGCATGCTTCTCCTGAGGTAGAAACCTGAACATGGATGGGGTTCTCGCTGCTCAGGCACAAGAGTGTTCCCTGAATGCAGGAGTATAACCCCACAGCCTGGTAAAGTATCACCCGTACTAGAGAATTGTTGACTTTTCAGTCTGAAGTCATAGACAAACCAAATGCAGATTACCCTGAAAAGAAAACTTGCTTCATGATTAAACTATCCCATTAGCTATGGCATACTGTGTTTTTTAAACTTCCCAGAACTGTAAGTTACGGGATGGGCTCTTAAACTGTTCCTTTATGTCTCTGGTCAAAATTAGCAGTTTTTATAGTCTCCTGTTTATTGCATTAATAGCATATTTTTGGTTTATAAGTAACATACAATATAAAGAAACAATGTTTGATATACTGAGATCCAGCCTAAAAAAAAAAAAAGAAAACAACACAACCTCCCAGCATTTTATTTTAATGGTATCCAAAAATACTAAAGTGACTGAAGTGCAACGGACAATGCAAATCAATATTTTACGTATCATTAACAAACATAACAGATGCACAGTACTAAGGCCCTATTGCCAAGTGGGAATAGCAACTGGATAAAAATTAACTTACAAATAAAAGCATAGAATTTATTGCCTTGTCTTTGGCACCAAAATACCGTTCAAGGGTATTACCCTTAAGATTCATGCCAAACTAGTAAGATGATGTTGGCTTACAACCACGTAAATCAGCAGGGCTATGTCAACTTCTTTCTCTGATATACTCCTTTTTTTTCAGAACCTGAAGACATGCCAAAACTAATCTTGTTTGGCTCTTGTAATTTATTTTGCTAGAAATAAATCTCAGCAAGACCACAACTTATTTTGTAGAGTTGGGTGTGATTTCCTTTTTCTAGATACGGACGTTATACAAGGACAAATACTACTTTGAGGCATTACTTACAGATTGCCAAGCAAGAGACTCCATAATTCGATGTTCACAGCGTTCTAGGTGCTTTATCATTTCCCTTGTTAGGCTTGGCTCCGCTTTAATAAAACTTTCAATCACCTTGTAGAAGTCAAAGGCTTTTAAATCAAATACATTGAGAATCCATGGGAAAGACAAGTCTGTTTCAGCACTGGTACCATCACTTTGTGAAGCATTTCCTGCAGGGAAACCAGACTAAAATTATCAAGAGTACTACATTCTTTCACTTCTGATGTTTTTTCCTTTTTGTATTTATTGAATTATTGCTAGTTCAGAAATTTCAGAGAGCACTTCTTTTTTTTTGCTATTTACTCTATTTTATGTATTAGAACAAATGGCAATAATTACCAGTAAATAACAATGCTATTTAGGACTTTAGATTCAACTTACTGCCATATGTAGCCATGACAACTTCAACAGCACATGCCAGAAGAGACGTGTGGAACACGTTATCATTCAGAAGTTTGCTAAGGAGAAAGAAAGTTATTAATACTTGTCCTAACAATAAAATAGCAGACTTTGATAACAAGTTGCGGGCACATACCTGAAATTCTGCACAGAGAGGCGCTCTTCCTCCTGAAATGTATAAATCAAACCAAACTTGTGAATATTCTTAGTATTTGTAAATGCAATGCCAGTACTAAGCCACCAGTACTAAACTTACCGACTTTAGCATAGACTCCATTACTCTGTAATACAGACGTACTCCAAGCTTGTATCTCTGTTAAAAAAGAAGAAATTCGAGAATATTACAAGAAGTTTTAACAAACTACACCAGACAGACTCTCATGTTTTAACAGTGCAGAAGATTTCTGTTTTTTGGAAAAGCCACTATGAAGAAGTCATTGTCCCCAGTTCCATTTGCCAATAGCACTGGAGAGGACTCTGTCCTTAGTAGCCTCAAAGGCTACTAAGGTTTGTGACTACTAACCACATGAAGACTTGATTAAGTCTGTACATTGATTCACAGCTAATAGGATAAAAAGCAGGTCTGACAGACAGGAGACCGTTTAGTACAAACTCGGTTGGATTTGTTTTCCAAAATCCATGTTGAAAGCACAGCTGGCCTACTGATTTTATAAGGAAGCGAGTCACCTTTTGCAGTTTGAGGCTAAGTTACCTTAATGAATGCAAATATACATTTCACTAAATGTATTTTGCCCAGTAATTTTCCGATTCTTCATTAAAGTATTTCCAATGTATTTCCACCCAGTTCCTACCACTTCTTATATATTAAGAATAATTTGGTGAATACTATCTTTACAGCACTTTAGAAAAAAATACCTGTCCATTGCTCAAGTTGAAAATATTATTGTTACCTTTTACCATTATTGATCTGCACTGAAGGAGGAGAGTCAGTAAGTCAGGTCTCACATTAGCTAGTACCAACAAAGTTCAAATGAGTAATAACCAACCAAAATGCTAGTTACCTGTGAGCCAATTTCAGCACATCCCTGCCCAACTGCTTCAGCAAATTTCTTTTTGAAGATGTGGTCAAGACTTTCCACTCTTTTCAGGATACTATCCTTAGGGTTCACTGTGCAATTCTGATAAAGTACAAGAAGGGGGGGCAAGGAAGGAGGCCAGGGGAAGGAAAGGCAAAGAAAGGACATTTTACTTCAAAAACATTTTAATGATTTAATCACATTAGTCCTGCTTCACTTTGTAACATCTCTCAATCAGCTCATGAGCATAAATAAAAGTGGAGTATTTAAAAAAAGATAGAATCATTGTATACATTCAACAATTTCCAGTAACTACAACTTTATATTTCACAGGCAACTAGCTGCAACTAACACAACTAACATGCCATCGATGTTAATGTCTTTAAAGTTAAAAATATGCTTAAATTGTGGAATGAGGACATGAGATCCTCTGAGTATACTCTCCTTCTCTTCATCTCACTTTTCTAGCTCTTTTTTCCATGTGATACATACATAAATAAATCTTAAAATTTAAGTAATATATAACTAACAGTAGCTTAATATTTAAGTGCAGTAACAAAAAGATTTAAGAACTTAGAAGGTTCCAGTATACATCAGTTAGAAGTGCTTTCTAAAATGAGTAATTACATTTAAACAATCCCAATGAAAATGTACTTCTTCAAAAAATGGTTAATATAGGAGTTTCCCAGAACACATGCATCAGATCTACAAGTATATATTTTACTTGAGTGATAATCCCAAGAATCTTTCACAAATCTTCCTTCAAGTCACTTACATTGAAATAGATCATGAGAGTATCTGATAGTTTATCAGTTGCTGAGTTCAAAATCATAATCAATTGCTGAATGTTATTCATTGCAGCTCTAGAAAAATACAATAAAATGCATAATAAACATTAAGGTTGGCTCGACAGTTTCCAGAAACTGAACAGCAATTCTATAAACAAAAAAAAAAAATTTATTATTTTAGTTCTTTCCCCAGTAATCCAACAACCTGCTAGGAAAAACTGTTGCACTGTCTTAACCATTGTGAATTCTAATAATCTAATTTATCTAATCATCTAATTACTGAATGATTATAATCCATAAGTAAATAACCAAAAGAACATAAATTAAGTAATAAACATTAATAAGCACTTTTAAAAGCAGTAAAATGGTGGAACTGCAATCCTTGAGTGTGAAAATACTCAGTTAACTCAAGTAACTCCCTAACAAAAAACCTCTTCGGCTTCTGTGCAAAAATAATACGAAAGACTGGTGAATGAAGACAGCTTTTATGTTTCAAGTCACCTGTTCACAAGTGTAATAAAGTAAGATGTATTAAAATATTGCAGTCACAAGAAAATACCAACCTGTCAGCCTCACCTCTGTGCCGAGGAAGATCACGGAATAGAGCCTCCTAGAAGCTATGCTAAGGCACATGAAGGACAGGGAGGTGATTCGAGACAGCCAGCATGGCTTCACCAAGGGCAAGTCCTGCCTGACCAACCTAGTGGCCTTCTATGATGCAGTGACCACATTGGTAGACAAGGGAAGAGCTACGGATATCATCTTATCTGGGTTTCTGTAAGGCTTTTGACATGGTCCCCCACAACATCCTTCTCTCTAAATTGGAGAGATATGGATTTGATGGGTGGACTGTTGGGAGGATGAGGAATTGCTTGGATAGTTGCATCCAGAGGGTAGGGGTCAATGGCTCAATGTCCAGATGGACACTGGTAACAAGTGGTGTCCTTCAGGGGTCCATATTGGGACCAGTACTGTTTAGTATCTTCATCAATGACATAGACAGTGGGATCAAGGGCACCCTCAGCAGGTTTGCACATGACACCAAGCTGAGTGGTGTGGTTGACATATGTGAGGGACGGGATGCCATCCAGAGGGACCTGGACAAGCTTGAGAAGTGGGCCCATGTGAACCTCATGAGATTCAACAAGGCCAATTGCAAGGTCCTGCACCTGGGTCAGGGCAACCCCAGGTATCAGTACAGGCTGGGGGATTAAGGGATTGAGAGCAGCCCCACTGAGAAAGCTTAAGGGATAATGGTGGATGAAAAATTGGACATGATTTGGCACTGTGCGCTCACAGCCCAGAAAGCCAACCAAAATTCTTCACTGTGAGGGTGGTGAGGCGGTGGCACAGGTTGCCCAGAGAAGCTGTGGATGCCTCATTCCTGGAAGTGTTCAAGACCGGGTTGGATGGGGCTGTGAGCAATCTGGTCTGGTGGAAGGTGTCCCTACCCAGGGGTTGGAACTGGGTGGTCGTTAAGGTGCCTTCCAACCGCACCATTCTATAGTTCTATGAAAGGCTGAGAGAGTTGGGGTTGTTCAGCCTGGAGAAGAGAAGGCTCCGAACGAGACCTTGTTGCGACCTTCCGATATATAAAGGGGGCTTATAAGAAAGATGGGGACAGGCTTTTTAGCAAGGCCTGCAGTGACAGGACACGGGGCAGTGGTTTTAAATTGACAGAGCATGGGTTTAGATTGGACATAAGGAAGAAATTTTTTGCAATGGGGATGGTGAACCACTGGCACAGGTTGCTCAGAGAGGTGGTAGATGCCCCATCCCTGGCAACATCCAAGGTCAGGCTGGATGGGGCTCTGAGCAACCTGATCTGGTTGAAGATGTCCCTGTTTACTGCAGGGAGGTTGGACTAGATGACCTTTAAAGGTCTCTTCCAACCCAAACTATTCTATGATTCTGTGAAAATACAGCCTTTTTAAAATAGATGCTTTGAAAAACCCACATCTTTCAGAGGCAGAGCCGTCAACATTCCTATTGACAATAGCATGAGAATACAGTCTTCTCCCTCCCTGGATCTGAACACAAAAGTCACATTAAAACTTAAATTCTTACTTTAACTCCAATTCCTTCTGTTTCCAATAGAAAGGCTACAATTTCTGTCATCCTTATTCTACCTACTGTATCTGTAGCTAGGTTAGAAGAATCTTAAATATAAAATCTTCCTAACTTTTAAAGTATTATAGGTAGGGAACAGGATGTGGACATTAAAGAAATTTTCCAGTGTTCCCAAGAAATACAAACAATATCTTCTTAAAGAGTAGAAAAAAAATTCTTTATTGTCTACATGAAAAGTAGATTAAAAAAATGAATAACATTTTATTACCTTGGATATACTGAAGTACTGAACTATGCCTCCATCTATGATCTTATTGGCATTGTTTTACAGGTACAGAGTAAAAAAAAAAAAAACAAACCCCACAAAACCAAAGAAAACCCAAAAAACAAAATACCAAGTAACAAAAAACACTGACATCAAAACCATTTGTATCTCTGCTTAATGCCTAGAATTTTCTTGCTAAAAAGAGATTCAAATCCACAAGTAATACCCATTGACTCATATCCAATATCTTAACATAGAAAACTACTAAAGCTAACCCAAATAACAGCTGTATTTCAGAAAAGCTGTAATAATTTAAAGAATACTCTGAAGACAAGTGCATAGGGTCCTGTCATTTATTCCACAAAGTTAAATGCCCTGTTAGGGTGACTGTGTATCCCTCTGAAGAAATCATTTTTCAGTTTCTCTTCTAGCACAGAAATCTTGATGAGAAACATTTTTCACGACTTTCAGAAAGATCATTATTTTAAGATAACAGAACATGGCCTCTTCTCAAATAACATGTATTATCCAGGAGGTGACTGAAATATCTATAGGTGGAAAAATAAGAACAATAATGATTTTGTCATACAGGACAAGAAGATACGTGCATGAGCTAGCATCTACACAGCCCACATTTCCAGCTTTTGGGGATATCATGTATTGTTCTGCCTTTTTTATTGGCACATACATACAGAACTAACGATGTATCCAGTAAGTCCATAAGTACTAATGTGGCCTGGCTTTTTTTTTAAACGTATTCCAAGTTGTGTATTAAGCAATAGTATTAAGTTTCTATTCTTTTGGAAAGGTTAGTGTATTAATTTCTCTCCTAATATCTAAGAAACAGTTTGATTCTTCCAGTGGTGCTGTTACTTACCGAAATTTTCATTGTGGTTTTTGTTTTTTGGGTGCATTTTTTTGTTTGTTTTTAAATTTCTGTGCTATTTAACCTCAATTGGGCTCATATCACTCAGAAAATAAATGAAGAAGAAAAATATGTCCAATCATTACAGCTGCAGTAGTACAAATATGCATTTTTCTTTAATGCACTTTTTAGAAGGTTTTGGTAAAATCACTTCTGCCAAAACTCTACTAGTGATAAGGAAACGCATATGGACGGTGGAAAAAACTAAAAGGAAAGCACACAACCCATTCTCATTATGCTCTGAACCAGTACTTACACCCATTTTATCTACCACTTTCTATATAAATGACCAGATACAAGTCCACTGATAAAAATTACTAGTTTCTCACCAATTTCAGAGGACTTCAGAGCAGATCCTAAGTGTCTAAGTCCAGAAAGAAGACATTATAAGAAGATTTAAATAAGTATGGTGCTTTCAACATAACCTGTAAGAGGTTCTACTGAATTCAGGGAGAGCTAGGGACACACTTTCCACTCTATGCTGATGCTCAAAGGTTCACTGCCATCTAGTGACAGTTCTGTGACTTTATGAAAAGCAGCTACTACCGCCCAAATCACTGCTGGTGAATAAGCCTTCACTTGGAACTGTCTTAAATTGCATCAGTTTGGGAAAACTCAGAGAAAAGCCCAAGTGTGGATGGAGAGAAACTAAATATCTCCCTAGACCTCCTCTCAAGATCACAGTTGGTTTAGCACGTTTCAAATTTTTAGCAATGCAGAAACTTGGTACTCCTGGACTTCCTTAATACGACTTCCATGTCAAGAACTTTAATGAAGCATCTTTCATGGTGTTAGAGGGCTTTAATTCTAGTATAATTGAAAAGTGTCAATAGCTATATTTGTAAAAAATGGGATTTGTTGTCAATGACCTCCTTGTTAAATACACTGCATGTTATAGATGGTCTGTTCCCTGATATTGCACATTCAGTCTGGGAATTAAGAGGCAAACTGATCCCTTTATGGCTAAAAAAGCATCACTGGCTGTTAAAGATTTCAAGCACAAGACTAAAAGAGACCACTAAGGCAATAAAATAAAGTCTTTCGCAGTCACAAGCTATTAAAAGTTTTTTCATATATGGATCAATATTTATCTCAGCTGCATGTCTCCTTTTATTATTTTTATGAAGAAGCTTTTCAGAACCTTGCTGCTCTGCTGGCTAGAAAACAATTTCTGCAGGTGGCATTTAGTATTTATAATGGATGCACAAGCCCAGAGTCTAATTCATTCTTCCACAAGCATATAAACTCTGTAGAAGTATTTTTAATAAAAACAAAAATAATTTTTCTCCTTTGAGAAAACTGAAGTAATAATGAAGGCTAGAATATTTTAACTTCTCTCATCTCTACAGCATGCTAGAATGAAAGGCATTTATACAGCAAGCATGGAACAAGAACTTCACTGTCCAGTTTTATTAAACCCGAGACCTTAAGAATGACTGCCTGTGCGGACACTTCTCTGTCCACGTAGCAAATGGTATTGCAGAGACACAGCTGGTTGGTTCTTGAGTGTCCAGGAATTTGTAAGCACCATCAGGCAAAAACATACTGATTGTGTCAAAAAACTATGTGGCATAAGGGAAAAATAGTACATGCAAATCTCCTTTCCTTTGGTTAACTGAATTCAAGCTTGCAGTTTTTCTGCATTTGATTGTAGATCAAACAATCTCCAATTAATACCATATTTCTACCATATCGGTCCATTTTCCTGATAGACCAAAATATGTTGGCACTCTGAAATGTTCATCTTCCCAATACAGAAAAAACAACACTAAGAAGAAAAAGATCACGGGAGAAGAAATGTGTGTTTATACACAATCTGGTATCGGGAAAGGAAGCCAGAAGCTACAGAGCTAGAGTAAAGATGGGAAAGGAAGATGGAAGTGTAGCAGACAAAAGTACTACCATGGAAGTTTAAAGTTGCATTCTCACAAGAACAAATACAGTCATCTATTTTACAGACATCATGAACTTCTTAGACAACTCAGTAAAAGGCTTTCGCTGTTTTCCAACAACTTCACCAGGAACTGAGGGCACTCAGCACTGTTCAGTTCATGCTCACTGCTCATGAGTGATCGGACTACAGTCTGCTTTATGACAGAAAAAAACAGCCACAGTTGATTTAGAATTAAAACAATTACTCTAAAGATTAATATTTCTAGTTAGGATATTAAACAAAAGAACAGAGCTTAAAAGAAAAATTCATACCGAACAGGAGTCTGTGGAAGTATAACATTAATTTCTTCATCTGGATTGTTTTTTAGTGGTGTTCTTTCCAACTGCGAGCTACAGAAATGGAAAACAAATTCATGAAGAACTAATGTAATTCAAAAAGGAACGTTTTCTATAAAGACTTATTAACCTGTGGAATTAATAGAGAAAACTGTGGAACAGATTTTTAGAAGATCTAGATGTGCAACCACTCCAGTTATTAAAACAATGTAATCTAAATTCCCAAGTAGAGCTGCTTTGAGCAGGATGCTGGACTAGATGACTGCCAAAGTTCCCTTCCAACATTTTTTTTTCTAGAATTCTATTTATAAACAGCTTCATTTATATGTACAGCTGGTATTAGCTCCATTTTAATCCATTTTTAAATGAATGTATTTTTCTAGCATAGGTAAAGTCACAGATTCACATTGTGAGCTCACATCAAGTTATTGTAATGTTGAATTGTCAGGAATCACTGAAATTTAAGCATATGACTGAAAAAAAAAATCAAATAGAATCATAGAATGGTTTGGGTTGGAAGGGACCTTAAAGACAATCTAGTTCCAACCCCTTCCACTAGACCAGGCTGCTCAAAGCCCCATCCAGCCTGGCCTTGAACACTTCCAGGGATGGGCCATCCACAACTCCTCAGGGCAACCTGTGCCAGTGCCTCATCACCCTCATGGTCGAGAATTTCTTCCTTATATCTAATCTAAATCTTCCCTCTTCCAATTTAAAGCCATTGCCCCTTGTCCTGTCACTCCATACCATTGTAAAAAGTCCCTCCCCAGCTTTCCTGCAGGCCCCTTCAGGTACTGGAAGGCTGCTCTAAGGTCTCCCCAAAGTCTTCTCTTCTCCAGGCTGAACAACCCCAACTCTCTCAGCCTGTCTTCACAGGAGAGGTGCTCCAGCCCTCAGATCATCTTCGTGGCCTCCTCTGGACTCGCTCCAACACGTCCATGATATCTGTATTACTGAACAGCACCAGGGAAAGTGCTTGAGCGCTAGTACTCAACTGTTTATTCTGCTAAACCACTCATGGTACATTTCTGTCCCACGCAAACTACCATTCCCCAAACAATTTGTGGACATAGGTCACAAGTCAGAACGGGCTGAGGACCACTGCCAGCAGGCAGCTTCCAAATGCCACCATCTGTTTTTAGGAAGGAGAATCTGGACAGTGAAGACCAAAGCCATTCCATATCAGCCGGCCCCAGAGCCGTAACACCATCTTGGGCATACCTAATCAACTAACATGACATGGCCTCGGTCTCCTCCTCCTCCCAATTCCTCAGCTTCCCCTGGGCGACAGGGGCTTGCACAGAGTATGAATTAGAGCTTCCAAATCATTTGAGGTAGAGTCACAGTCTCATGTTTTCTAATTATTTAAGCAATAATGTAGAGCAAGGCTGGTGATGTCAGAAATACCTTAGCTGAACTACAAACCTATAGCAGGACACAGAGATCTCAATTTATAAGATGAAAGGGCAGAAACCAACACAAGTTCACATTTTCTATTATAAAATTAAAGCAGTAAATGGAAACATTACCATGCTATGACATCAGGCTGTAGAGTTTCATCATGATCCAGAAATAATCTGGCATCTATATCTTTGTTTTTGAGATACAGCTCGTCGTACTGTTTCAAGATAACCTCAACCTCAAAAAAAAATTGAAAAAAAACAACTTTATTTTATAGGAACAAGTTTGACAAACTACTGAACAATATAAGCTAGTCCTACCTCATGAATACAATGCTGAGACGTTAAGATAATGACCTTGGAGCTCAAAGCATACAACAGCCAAAACATACCCAGAGGAAAATTATCATTCCCACAGGCAAACAAAGATAATCTTTTATAATAGAAAACAATCCAAGATCATGAGACTTTTTTGAAGAAATGTAGGTCTTGACAGTGCAAAAGAGCTAAAAATAGCTAGTGGGACACACAGACTTACAAATCAAACTAACATTTCCAGGCTTTTAAATCTTTCTTTCCAGAAAAAAAAAGGAGTCTCCAGGAGCAGGGAATGTAAAATGGGTGTCCGTAGAACAGCTGTCGGACAATCGCCTTGGTCTCTGTCTCTACTGGTTTGGAGATGAAGGTCTAGGCTCAAACACAAACCTTTGTGTTCCAAGTATAAGAAGAGTTTCCCCATTTCATATTAATATTTGTACTGGTGTAGTTCTTAAGAGACATGCCTATCTCTACAAAAACATAGACCATTATTTCATATCCACATTGTTGTTTTATAAATTACTGTTAAAAGTTTCTTAGCTGATTAGATCCCATATTGATATGACTTCATTTTCCACGGCAAAGTTTGGGGGGCAGGGGTTGTTTGGTTTTGGTTTGTTTTTTTGTTGGTTTGGCTTTTTTTTATTTTTTTTTTGAGTGACTAACATTAACTGGAAGTCCACAATTGTTTTATCAGGGCCAGATACCAGCCTCCACTTCAAATCTGCTGCTGTGCTCCTGCAGAAATAGGCAGTCACCTCAATTATCTGTTCCCTGAGTCCTTAAATGATGCTGTGCTCTGGCAAATTTCTGCTAGAAAAACAGGCAATAGCGCACATGAAGCCAAATTAGTCCCCTCCCAGTACCAAGAAAAAGTAAGCTGCAAATACCTCCTATACAGCTTTGCTTCTCATCCTCTCCTTTTACCTTTGCCAAATGAATTTGCCTCAAACTGATCTCATGGTTAAAACTTTGAGATTAGGACTATTAAATCAAAGATTATCTTTCAATTCCTATAATCACTAATTTTTTTTTATTAAAAACGTTCATTATCATTTTTCATTATCTTCCTAATTGCTTATGAATTCTTTTTGTCTACAGTATTTCAGTACTTCATAAACTTCTAGAAAATTCAGATTCTCACTGCAAAAACCAGCAGTTTTTAGACAAAAAGACTGTACTGGGCTAACTGGGAAGAAACTTTCAGCCAAAAATAAGAGTTCTGAATCAATCTATTCATCAGTTCATAAAGCCTGATCATCAAACACACAGTGAAGACAAATGAAATACCAACATTAAGTCTCAAAAGCTTTTCTTGTTTTGGAAACAACATTAAAGCTTATCAAAAGCTCGGTGTTTTTTTTAAGAAACAGAGAGTCAATTTAAACGTCCCATATTACTAGCTACTGTACCGATGATCTCAGCTATGATTGATGGTTAGCTGGATTACCTATATGAACTGACTACCTCTGAAATATAGTTGTAACTTTCTGCTTTGTTTTAGAACATCCCCTCAGGCACTCAAGTTTCAGGAGCAAGGATAGTGTGACTGGATTTTTCTTCAAATGCATCATTTTACAGAATTTTTACCAGCAGAGTCCTAGACTGGAAATTTTGATACTATGCTTAAATTGAGCAGCCTTGGATGAGAACCCTCATTGCTTTGAGAATGTGCTATATAATAACCTTCGCCTAGAAGTTCATACAGGGCTTCCCAACTATACATACTCATAAATTAAAACATCTAAACAGACTGCTGATACCCTGAAATTAATTTTGGAATAGATTAAGATCTTTAGTGGGTCTTGTATTTTGTGTGTGTCCCCCCCCAACACACTATGAAACCGAACAGAACACATACTTGGTTGAATCTTGCAGACCTTGCAGACCTCTGAAAAGCTTCAGAGCTGCTTATTTTCAGGCTGCCACATCTATTAGTGACACACAGCTAAACCTACTCTTTTAAGAATGATGGATGTAAATACATTGCAAGAAGTTGCCTACTAAGGTTCACTCTAGGGTGTGACTGCATTGAAATAGTCTGCTGCATCTAGGCTACAACTCAGTAAGATGAAAGTAATTCTGCATGGACACATCAGACCAAACTCTACCAGTTGTGAAACTCAGCCTAATCTTTTTGATATCTCTCCAACATGACTACAGTAAGATGTCTCAATTATATTTAAATTAAGGTGTGTAATTTCAGACTGTATTTGTTTATAGACTGACTTCAGAGACTTGATATTGTAATAGCTGCATTTTAGATTCATGATATGTAACTCTCATGTTTTACTTTGAGCAAAAGCACTGATTCACCCTCTGGAAATTTGTTAAATTCAAACATAAAAGCTAAATATACTCCATGAATAGTGGAATCCCTGCTAAGCCACATTCCTGAAAAACAATGCATTTTGCTACATGATTTTAGAAGAATCTATCAGAACTTCTTCAATGTGTAAAGGGAATCTTAAGCAATTTGGCATGAAGTAAATCACTGTTCTTGAACTGTCTTAAATTCCTCCAATTACCTCTGGTAGTCCACTTGAAGCTACAATACCAATAGAATTCAAGAAAGGAATAAAGCTTGTGAAATACACATTTTTGACCTAAAGAAAAAAAAGAAAAAATGTAACATTAGCACAGAGTAGAGGGCACAAAGTACAGAGGCAGCCATGCATACACTGCTCTCACATCTTTAAATCAAGAAACTAAATGAGACACTTTCGTAATGCACCATGTTTTGTTCTCAATAAAGCAAAAACAAAACCGCTTACATATCCAAAACATAGTGATATGCAAGCATGCAGTATGTAATACATTGCTGGAACATTAAATAACTAGACTGGGAAAGAACTGCACTCTTCCCAGTTCTCTTGTATTTCTGCTTCCACCATCTGCTTGGATATTCAAAAATCAGTCCTTTTTACACAGGAATAACTTATCAGCAAAGGAAAAGGGGAATGGGGTCTTTGAGATCCCACATAGAGGCAATGTGCTTGTTGTGTACATTTTCTCATCACGGGATGCAGCTGTGAAATCCCATCAGAGCAGCCCTGCATCCACATGCTACATGCTGTGATCAGCCTATAACCTCGGACCGCATTCTTCACAGTTCAGCTTCCCTAGCAAAGTTATCCCCCATACCGAAGGGCTTGGGTTTGGTTTGTTCGGGTTTTTGTTAGGGTTTTTTTTTTAACTACCTACTAGAGAAACTATAGAATGGTAGAATACCTTCACTACTGAACTTGAGAGAATAGTTAAGCAGGCACAAGTATTGTGATTTTAAAAGGCCATTTAAATAAATGCATATTCCAGATGGGGTTTAGCAGCAAGATCAAGAGCTAACAGACTTTAAAACACAGGCATTACCTCATCTAAATTACAATCATGCTCTTTACAAAGGACTTCAATAACTTTTGTGTCAGTATCAATTTGCTTTGAAGTACGTGTACTCCTGTTCTGACCTCTTCTTGGGGTTCGAGCTGAACCATTAACAGTCACTGCAGTCACAGCAGACTCTGAAAAGATAGTCAGAACCATCACAAGGTTAGAGTTGTCTCAAGAAAAAAGAGATTCAAATTTTTCAACCTAAGAGATTTAATTTTTATATGATTTTTCAGGTCCTCTTCTGAAATATTTCCCTTTTCATCTGTTCAGCGGGATAAGAAACCTTCATTACAGAAAGCCTATACAAAAAGAAAACTAATTTTTAAATTCCTGTATCAGTATTTGGACATTTTGTTTTTAAAAAGCTATTCACCACAGAATGTAATACCACTTTTTGTAAGTAGCTTTGAATATGCATCTGTTTTGCCAAACTAGGAAAGCCTTCTCTTTTCACATATGAGCAACTATATTTTCTATTTTTACAGAAGTGTAAAACAAGGAGCTGAAAGAGTAACTTCACTCTACACGTCTGCAGGTTAATGAAGTCAATGTAGGACTTAAGTGCTGGTGGGAACCTGGAATATGGTTCTGCAGGGAATTCCCCCTTTCTCCAAATACCCCCAGGCACACAAGTAGGAACAAACAAGCTCACCTTGAAGAAGATATCAAAAAACTTTAATTCAGTGAGGTAAAAATACTTAATTTTGTTAAGATCAAAGTAGATGGTTTCAGTATTGTCAGCTTGAAATATGTGAATTATATTAACATATGTTAATATCATTAAATATTGTTGGTTGAAAACTGACACACTAATCAGCATGCTGTTCTCACCTGTAACTTCATTCGTATTTGATAACTGTTCTGAGAAAATCTGACAAACTACACTGCTCGGGTGGTTGCATCTTAATCCTCTCAGCCTTAGTCAGACCATAAAGCTTGACATTTAGCACAACGTGAAGCCTCTTGGTCACAAGGATTTGAACAATACATTGTGTTATTTGCTAAAAGAATGAAGCACTGTTTGACAGTTTACACAGCACCTGCACATACCACACAGCTTCAAGGTAGAAATCTAATGCTTCACCCTTATGACAGTGATACCCATATTTGCAATTTAGTCTGAAGTAACCGCATTTCTTTTAAAGATACAATGCACAGAACCGAACAGTTTCTGACAATGAGTTCCTAGGCTTCATAGTTTCACTAAAAAAATATATCAGTGTGAACACAGAGTTCAAAAACAGGTAGTTTCAATTCAGTGTTCTTTGAAAAAGATCTGCTTTATAACATCTGAAATAAGCAGTAGCACGTCTGTCCTACTATGAAGGACAAATTTAAATTCAAAATAGTACTAGAGGAGGGCAGGGATTTGCTTGCCACAAGCCCATCTTTCTCCACCCTTTATTTGTATTGGTATTAGAATAAAAGTGAAGTTATTTGTTCTTACCTGCAACAAATAATTACTAGGTCAGATAAACATCCTCCAAAACACGGAATTTAAAGAATAAAGCAGTGAATATATCATCTATTCTATGACATTATGACCCAAATGGATATTTAGTTGTGAAACAAAGAAATAAAGCAAGTAGATTTAGGCTACAAATACTAGTGTCGCATCCAAACCCAGCAGAGGAAAAACTAATTAGTACCAAAAATTGTTTTCTACATACTGTGGCTTCAAATACTTCAGTATATCAATTCCATGGCTTGCAGAAGGAAATATTCAAAAAAATAGAATTCTGTCTTTGAAAGTTACCATAAAGGCTTACTGTCTCTGCCTTTTTAGTGAGGTTTTCCAGGTTTCAGGTATAAAAACTGAATGTACAAAAAGTTACTGCTGAACAGAAGTTTCTATAGTAAAGACCCATTATATTTTTACTTAAAATAAAGAAGACACACTAATAACAAAGTGGACGTAATAAAAGCAAAGCTACCTACATTTTACCTCTGCCGTTTTATTTTGAGCAACCACTGCAATTAGGTTTTCTATCCACTGAATATTTCTTTTAAATGTCTGTGTAGTCCAGTATCTTGTACATTTCTGTTGTCACCATACTGTTATATGTCAATGACGTAAGAGAGTCATAGCACCATCTTTTCCTTTTGTAACTCAAAGCAAACCTAAATAATAGTCATCATCTACCCAGAACCTGAATTCTTTTACCGAAGTAAAACTGCTGTTTTAACAAGAGCCTGATCAACTTGTAAGGGCAGAGGACATAGCACATGGATGGCAGGAATAGAAAAAAAAAAGAGATAATCATATTAAATATTAAATACACTGCCACATTCAGATAATTTAATTCAAGTTCACTACCATCTAAATTGAACTAAAACCTCAAAAAATCCATTTTAATAAGCTTAAGAAGTTTTATTATGTTAATTATGAATGTTAGCATGACTCTAATAAAAATATAACCAATTTACTCTCTACTTCAGTGAACAAAAACCCCAAAATCCTTACTGTATGGTTCCTTGAGCATAGCAGGAGGTGACAGTTTGATAAAATAATCTAAGACACACAGCAACAACTGGAAAGAAATCACCAGGTCATCTTCCACTTGCAGCACTTTACCTGCAAACATTTAAAAAGGTAAAGAAAACCTTTGTCAGATGTTTGACTCAATTTTAAAAGTAATTCTGGAAAAAATAAAGATTTGGAAGCTCATTTAATAGAACACTACAATTAGAATTCAGAAAACATCATGCAGGATGCTAGCGTTTTTTAAAGGCTATTGATTTTAAAACTCATGGTTCTTAAGAGGTTTGTTGCTTTAGAGATAGCATACATAGAAATAAATTTACTGTGCACAAAATTCCTACCTCTTAGTGCTCCTTGCTGATTTCTTTTTCATTTTACTATAGTGGAGTAATTGTGTAGACTATTTTACCTACACGTACCTCTTATTTCTGTGCAATTCTTCTTCACTTTCTTTTTTTGTGGTCTTACGCAAGCTTTGTGAAAGCTGCTAAGTATTCAGAAAGCAGGAGTTGCTAGTATATAGTGAAGAGAAATTCAAAACATGCTATCACACCGCATGCTCAGCCTGTCAAATTTATATGAAATTACTTAAAAGTCACACAAATATTAGCATGAAGAGCACTTTTAAAACTACATTATTCCAGCTGTTTCCAAATTATGATTCATATGCCAGAGAAGATCTACACAGCCATTCCAAGATGGCATGCATCATCACAAAAAATCTGGAAAGCCGACAGCAATTCAGAACAGCTACGGACCACTACTTGTGCTCTATTTACACATGCAATTTCTTTATTCATTTTCTATCAGAATTAGCAGGCATCACTCAGGCTCTCCTGTGACTTCAGCTATTTGCTGGTAAATCTTAGCTTTCCTTATTCTCAGTGAAAAGGCAGGCTAGAAAAACTTTATGGGTTTTGCTTTACGCTTATGCTTAGAGAATTCTTGTGAGAAAGATCCACAAAGCTCAGCTGATCCAAGATCGATTTTGGTGCCAGAGATGTGTACCAGATTTTGCTGGTAAAACAGACCTGGAGTAAGCAGCAATTAAGATACACGATTCATTCCTTTTTGTAGGAGTAGCACAATGAGATGGGATTCCAGGGACTACTATAATTATTTTATCACTCAGTTTTAACTGGAACTTCTGCCTTTTCAGGGGAGAATTGCAGCATTCAAAGGACATAATTTAAGGGAGTTATTATCTTAAAATAATATCCTATTAAATTTATTTTAT